GAGTTCCACGGGTGCCTATCCCACTTCCTGCACCTGAGCCTGCTACTCCTGCGGCTCCTGCTGCTCCTGCTACTTCACAAACGCCCCTTCCTAGTTTTGATTTCTATGGTCTGCAATAGCAGCTTTCTCTGATATCTTTCCAGAATGAAGTGCTTATTATGCAGGGGGAGTATACACACAGGTTTATGGAGCATGCTTATCGTAGTGTACCCTTCAATACATTTCAACCTGTGTATCCTCATATTCCTCCCCCTATATATATCAGTAGCCTTATCCTGCTCCACCACCAGCTGATGTTCCTATGCCATCACAGCCATTCCATGATCCAGGGCTATATTGTCCTGCTACTGAGTTCTCCCATGCTGCTAGGAGGATGGTCATGGATGATAGTGATGACTCAGACGAGTGATATCTCTTTGCTGTCAGAGATTTATTTGTATATATTCTTAGTTTATTTTTGTCTTTTACTGTTTTTAGTGGTGACCTTTAGTTTGATGATAGGGTCACAGACTATCTTTTGGGTTGTATACGTCCCCATACTATGATATTGTGCTGATCTTATTATTATCTATCCTATGTTGTTTGTTCCATTGTGCAGTTATGATAAACCTTGGGTTTAGTTATTGCTGGGGACAACAATTTTCTAAATATGGGAATGGGTAGCATTATTATGAAGGATAGCTGCAGAAGCGGAACTGCACTTTATATCAGGGGAGATATTCTAACCATTATTATTATTTTTATTTTCTTAGTAGTTTTCTTGTTTTTTCTCTTTTAAATTTAAAAAAAAAATTGAAATATTTGAAAATTCTTGGAAAATATTTTCTGAGCAAGTCCCAGGTTTAGATATGCTTTTCCTAGTTAACTTGATTGATTTCATCATAGAAAAAATGTTTTGTATGAACTTCTGGCATGATATTGCATGGGCATGAGTAGATTTCATGATTGCTCGTTTGTCTGAATTTTGTGCTTGAATGATTAATGATGCCTGATGTTTCTTTTGAGAGTCTAGCTTGATACCATAGCCGGTGAGGTTTTGTGCTAAACACTTAATTTTATTCTTGAGAGACCTTACTGTGATAGCACTCTAGAACTTGCTCTGTTTCTCTATGATACATGCATTGATTGAAATGATTAAGGCAATTTTATTCTTGTTAGCAATGGCCAGATAGCCCAACTCTTTTATTTTTCCATTGTTAACCCCTTTGAGCCTGAGCCTATTTGTTCATGATGCATGTTGATTGCTTAGCCATGCTCCTATTGTCTTACCTTTGTTGAGATTGAAATGCTTGACAAGAAAAGAAAATCAATTGAGGTAAGCTCCACTGAAGCTAAGTAATTTAAAAAAAAAATTGAAAAAAAAATTGAAAGTGTATATAGCAATGTGAAAAAGGTGGAAAATAAAAGGGATGGACCCCTGATCTTAAAGAATAGTGGAGGTTAAATTTGTTGAGATTTGGTTGTTTTTTTTTCTCAAGTGTATATCAGTATTTCAATCTCAACTTACAATTTTAGCTACTTCCCATAAATTCCTACCCCTAAGCCAGGCCAAGTTATATCCATGTGAAGTCCTTTTGATCAATGGTGAATGTGTTAATATTCCTTATCTTTAGGAACTTGAGAATATGATCAAGCTTATGGTAGTACTATTGCTGTGGTGGATTGAGTGATTGCTATTCTCCCAAACACTTGAGTGTTGATTGTTATATGTTTATCTTGGTGAGGGGTGTTCAAGTTAGATTCTGACATTCTTATGAGAATAGAGGGTATTGTTAGGAGTTCTTTGCATTAATTCAGTCATGCTTAGCATAGTGAACTATTGATTGTCTGTATGATGTTATGCTGGATTGTTATTTTTTGGTTTTTCCATGATTTGATCTTGTTTGTTGCTGGGGACAGCAACGTTTAAATCTGGGAATAATTTGATGCGCCTCTGGCATATGTGATTTTCCAAGCTAAAAATAATAAGGATTAAGTCATAAAAGAGTAGTTTTTGTATATATTTTCTTTTTATATTGACTTTTCTATTTCAGTCTTATTTCTCACTTATTTGTTATTTTTATATAGGAAAAAGAAGGAAAATACGAAATTGTGAGAAAAGAAGATTGCAGAGCGAGTCCGCGCGGATGGTGGCTCGGTCCTGCGCCAACAGTGCTTCTGCCATTTTCCAAAAAGTTGACGCGATTCTGCGCCGTGGTGGCGCGAGTCCGCGCCAGTTTGCGGGAACCTGACCTCGTGTTTTGAAGGTTGGCGCGATTCTGCGCTGTGGTGGCGCGATTCTGCGCTGTGGTGGCGCGATTCCGCGCCAAGTTGCGGAAAGACCTGACCGTGTGTTTTGAAGGGAAATTTTGGAACAACGCGTGAGAGGAATATAAAAAGTATGCTGAACAGCGAGAGGAGGAGAAAAATCGATCAAGAGTACGACAGAGAGAAAAACAAGGATTCAAGTTAGAGGAGTACGTCAAGGGAGCAATTCATCGTTCTTGGTGTATGATAGTAACTTTATTTTCTTTTCTCTTTTATATTTGAATTGTCAGACATGAATATGTTTGGCTAGTCTTTTATTCTTGTGGTAAGGGTCACAACCCTTGATGTGAACCCCTTGTAGTTTGAATAATTTTTATATTTGTTTATTCCAATTTTCCTTTGCTCTTCATCTTTTAATTCTTCTAGAATTGATCACTCTATCGGGATTGCGAGGGTTAGAGTTTTCAATAGAGATATTGGGATTCTAATTCCAGACAAAAAGGAAAGTAATTGTTCATGTATGCACTAGGGATAAGCTACATGAACCGCAAACGTTAAGGATTCATTGATTCAAAAGTTTAACCTAAAAAAGGATTTCTAAGGGATTAGGATTCTAATAGGATTAATAAAGTTAAGATCACTAAGGAATTAGGGCTTAACTAATCAATTAAAAGATGGTGAATTGTTTGATCAATGTTTAAATTAAATGTAAACGTTAATTCAGATTGCAAGGTGGGGATCATAAAGGTGTTGGCGTCACTTTACCACAATACTCTCTTAAATATTTTCTCAATCTTAATCTGTTATTCTCGAGATTTCTAAAGAATTCTTGAATTAATTACACTGTTTTAAATTGTTCTAAATTTTCACAACTTACAATTGTTCTCAAACCAATTTTATTAATCCAACAAGAGAGGAATAGTTATAATAATTTCGGTGCCTACTCATCATTTTATTACTTGGAACGATCGGTACACTTGCCAATTTTTCGCAATAGGGTCCCACCTCTTTGTGAGATTGAAGTGACATAAATTGTGTCATTTAAATTAAAAGAACAAACACTTTTCCCAATTGAAAATATAAAATGTCCAGCAAGATATCTAATGTCATTAATACGTTTAAATAAAAAAGGCTAGTAATATTTATCTTGATAAAGTTTAAAATGACATTTCCTTATGGTATAAATGATGAATAACACGAATCATTATTTTGAAAACTTAGTCGGTGGTTCATTATATGCATGGTTGTTAAGATCGCGTTCAAAATTGTAACAATGTGCGATCTTACGATTTTTTTCAATCAAACGAGTTCGATGACAATTGGGATCATTTTCTTCTCAGATCGTTTCCAATCGACGTTCAAACAAGTAACATCAGTGAAATCAGGCGATTCCACCATTTCAGCGATTCAATAAAAGAAGAAGAGAGAGACCGAAGACGAAGCTCGAATGCGCACTGGATCGATGGATGTGCTCCATGGGAAGAAATCCTCTCAACGGAGGTCGATTTCGTGCACAAGAGTCTCAACGAAGGTGAAGGGGTTCCTCTGCATACTCCGGAAGCCATTGAAGCTTTCAAGATGCTGAACCATAAGTACCTGAAGAAGAAGATGGAGGAGATGAGAACCGAGGATGATTACTACCTCAAGCAGATCGAGATCAAGGGTTACATTCCTGAACTGCTGGTGTTGTGGTTGATTCCGCTGCGGGTTTGGCCATCATGAGGGTGGGAGGTGAATCAGAAGATGACTCTCTCATCTCTTCTTCTCCTGCATGTGCGCTTCTGGCAGTGGTGAACAGTGATGATAAGAAAATAAATTGGTAATCACGCCTCATATGTGTGAGTTGCAGCCTAATTTGTACTTTATCGAAATTTTTATTGTGCTACGGTCGCACCATTCTTTGGGTGCGACCCACCAATTAAAATAGGAGAGAGAGAGAGGATGTAAATTGTACGGATTAGAAGTTAAAAAAATTAAATAATCCAAATGTCAAAAACTGAATGGAAGACTTACATGCGTCGGTTGCATTGAAAAAGCGCTCGTACTTTATTTGCAAGTTGGAAGTTCATACACACCTAATACCATGTCACTATTATATCCTAATTTATAATTAATGTGCAAGTTGCCGTGCAATCGACAATTTTGTCCAGCTCATGGAATAAAGAATGACATAGTGTACGTGACATATAATTAAAAAGAATATTGATTTAAGTTTAACTATAGAATAATAGTATATTAAAAGTAAAAAAATTGTAGAAGTGGAAGAATATTATTATTATTTTTACTTAACCAGTAAAATAATAAATTATCAATTAAGGGTTATGTGATAAATTATTTTTTAGTTTAAATAGAAAAGCTTAATATAATGTCATTATATGATAAATATTTAATCATTTATGTAATTTTAATATTGTATATGCACAATAATAATTTTACGATCCGTGTCGATATTACGATTTACGATTTTTTTTTATCCTCTTCCATCTTAAATAAGATCTCAATCTTAACAACATTGAGTATATGGTATATTATATTGAATATTTGCCGTCGAAGAAAATTATAATGTTGGATTATTAGGTAAGTGGAGAAAGGACAAACAACACCGTGAGAGGCCCAGAAACCAAATGAGAAGATGCAGAGTGTTGCATGTGGAACCCACATCGACGACTTCCCTTGTTGGAACCGTTGAATACGCATCTCTCATCACATTCAACACTCATGAGTACGACTCTCGTCTCTTACATTCACCAAAATACCAAGTGAGTTTCCGTTCATTCTCTCCGAACACTGAGAAACCGTTCTTCAACTGCCTTTGCGGTGAGTTTTCGAGATTAATAAGATTCGTTTTCATATCACAGATACTTACTCCCTCGGAGATCCTTTTTCCTGCGACTGTTTTGGACCATAGATTCCAATAGCTTCCAGTTCTTCCATGGATTCCAGAAAATTCCAAAGCAGCAAGTCATCTCAGCGGATCTGTAAATACGATGTGTTTATCAGTTTCAGAGGTACTGATACACGCAACTCTTTTGTTGATCATCTTTTCGCTCATCTCTCCAGAAAAGGTCTTTTTGCCTTCAAGGATGACAAACGGCTCGATAAAGGAGAACCCATTTCAGCACAGCTTTTACAAGCAATTCATGATTCACGAGTTTCTATCGTTGTCTTCTCCCCTGATTATGCTTCTTCGACATGGTGTTTGGATGAAATGGCTTCTATAAACGAATGCCGTAAAAATTTGCAACAAACTGTTTTCCCAATTTTCTATGAAGTGGATCCATCTCATGTACGAAATCATCAGAAGGGGGTATATAAGGATGCCTTTCTTTTACACACTACGAGATTTGAACAAGATCAAGTCAAGGTTAATCGATGGGAAAGAGCTATGAAGGATCTGGCAGGATTAGCTGGTTGGGATGTCAGAAATAAGTGAGTACTATGCTCATTTTGTTTTATTTTTTAAGATAGGTTTCTGGTTAACAACAAATTCATATCCATTAATATATTATCGTAAAATGAATTTCTACCTTTTTTTTTCTCCTTATTTTTTTAGGTGATAATTTAATGATTTTATTTTATTTTTCTCTCTCTTTCAGGCCAGAGTCCAAAGAGATTGAAAATATTGTTCACAAGGTAATAAGTATATTGGGTCATAAATTCTCAGGATTTGTCGTTGATGAAGTTATTGGGATGCAACCTCGTGTAGCAACATTAGAAAGCATATTAGAATTAAGCTCACCGGAGGATAAATTTAGAGTTTTGGGAATTTGGGGAATGAGCGGAATAGGAAAAACAACTCTTGCTAGTGCTTTGTATGATAGAATCTCTTATCAGTTTGACGCTTGCTGTTTTATTGGGGACGTAAGCAAAATTTATGGAGATGGTGGTGCTGTTGCCGTGCAGAAACAAATTCTTCGTCAAACTCTAAAAGAAGAAGATGTAGACAAATGCAGTCCTCTTGAAATATCCGGAATCATAACATATAGGTTTCACAAGATAAAGGTCCTTGTAGTTCTTGACAATGTTGATGAATCAAAGCAATTACGGGAATTATCTATAAATCCTAAATTGCTTCGTGCAGGAAGTAGAATGATTGTAACCACTAGAGATGAGCATATTCTTAAGGCGTATGGAACAGATATAGTTTATGAGGCTCAACTGATGAAAGATAATGACGCTCGTCAACTTTTATGCAGAAAAGCCTTCAAAAGTGATGATTCAAGCAGCAATTTTGTTGAGCTGATCCCTGAGATACTAAAATATGCTAAAGGCCTTCCATTAGTAATTAGTGTATTGGGTTCTTTTTTGTGTACCCGAGATGCTCCCCAATGGATAGACGCCTTGGATAGATTGAAGAAGAATCCAGACAAAGATATTATGGATGTGCTTCGTTTAAGTTTTGATGGACTCCAAGATGATGAGAAAGAAATATTTCTGCACATTGCTTGTTTCTTTAAAGGGGAGAGAGTGGATTATGTAAAGCGAGTTCTAGATGCTTGTGGATTGTACCCTGGCATTGGAATACAACGTTTGATTGAGACATCACTCATAATCATTAAAAATCAGAAAATTCATATGCATGAAATGTTGCAAGAATTGGGGAAGCATATTGTTCGGCAACAATTTCCCCAAGAACCAGGATTGTGGAGTAGATTGTGGCTTTACCTGGATTTCTATTATGTCTTGATGACAAAAACGGTAACAACTCATCTTTCTGAATTTGAATTCCTTGATCTTCCTTTTCTTTCTTCGTTAGAAAGTTTTAATATTTTAATTATTTAATAAGGGTTATATTTATTTCATTTAATATGAGATAAATCAAATTTCTGCACACACATAATAAGGGTTATATTTTTTTTCTTTCCAATTATTTGTGAGTCTCTCTCATGATTTTATTACACTAAGGGCATGTTTGGTGCATAGTATTAGATAAGGCCTGATAGACTGATAGTATAAGACCTGATTGTATAAGACTTGATTAAATTTTAATACTATCTAGCATTTGGCATGGTATGGTATTGTATAAGATAATATCCTTCAATATTTTAAAAATTAATATATTAAAAACCATTATTTTAATATATTAATATTGAAATGATATATTAATTCTTGAGAATTGTACTTGTCAGCAATATTAATACATCAGCCCCTTATCAGGCCTAATCACACCCTCTTAGGCCTGATTAAGTTATACATTATTTTGATGTATTAAGGGGTTCTGCTGTATAAGCTTATACTATACGATGATCACATTTAACAATTGAAAATATCATAACGTATAGTATAAGCTTATACTATCGAGCCTTATACATCACACCAAACATAAGATAATCCATCTCCAACAACATAAGAAAAATATTTCTTATTTAATAAACATATATAGTCAAGGTTTTATTCCTATCAAAAAATAAGTTCAGTTAATTCAAGTGAGTTCATTTTTTCCATTTTTTAAAACATGTTTGTTCTTAGGGAAAAGTGTGTATAATTTTAAAGGAGGTAAAATTATGTCATTTTAAGAGAGAAAAAGATAGATAAAGTAGGAGAGAGAGTTGACAAAAAAAAATAAAGGTGTGGGTCCCGCCTCTTTGTGAGAGTGAAAGGATGTAAGTTGTGTAATTTTAAATGATAGACACTTTTCCTTTGTTCTTATATTTTTTAGGGAACAGACGAGGTTAAAGCTATAGTTCTAGATCAAAAAGATGCCCAAAGCCCTCTGACGATTGCTAGTGCGGAAGGATTGTCGAAGATGACAAGTCTTAGATTGCTCATATTAAATCATATGAAAATTTCAGGAGACCTCAATTTTCTTTCTAACAGCCTGCAATACCTTATGTGGCGCGGTTACCCTTTCACTTCTTTGCCATCCAATTTTGAACCCTATCGTCTTGTTGAATTGAATTTGCGTAATAGCAGCATCCATCGACTGTGGGACGGCCGCAAGGTACTTTAATGTTTTTCCTTTTCATTTTCTTATTGCTTTAAAAAAATAATGGGAACAACAATTATATATCTCAATTATTTTTCAAAAGAAGTGGCACAATAATTGGATTTTTTTAATTCTATAATGACATAATAATTTTAAAAATTGTAAATGAATATAATTTTACTTAAGATTTATAATTTACTTAAAAATCTTAATATGTTTAAAAGGCTTAAAAATAAACAAAAATGTATTAATGGTCTACTTTTTTGTTTATTTCAAAATAAATTGTATGCTCAATTATTTCTTGAAAGAAGTAGCATATATTATAAAGATTTAAATTTAAACACAATTTTTTTTTTTTTAATTTTATGCTGCCTTAATATTTTGAAATTAAAGATCCAAATAAAAATTATTATGTTTAAATTTTTTGATAGAGCTCTTTAAAAATGAAAAATGTCTGTGAGAGGTGAATTTGTTTTCAAAATAATTTTTTCTTATTTTTAAATTATACTAAATCATAATTTACCTTCTCACTTTCGTTCTCGTTTTTTATAAATAAAACTTTTGACTCCAATTCTAATAACATGCCAAAGTAAATCAATGAATGGAATTCAAGTTTTGATACAACATGCTAATTAGTATTTTCTAATTCTTTTTTCATAGGATCTTCCGATTCTTCCCTTTTTAAAAAGGATAGATTTAAGCAATTCTAAAAATCTTATGGAAACTCCAGTCTTTGATGGGATTCCAGAACTCGAGCGGTTAGATCTCACAGGATGTACAAACCTACACCATGTCGATTCATCAATTGGAATTTTGAGTAAACTTGCTTTCTTGAGTTTGCAAAACTGTAGCAATCTGGTTGGCCTTGATTTTGGCAGTTCCTCTAATTTAAGTTCTATGAGAATTATGGAGCTCTCTGGTTGCACAAAACTTGAAAACATGCCAGATTTTACTGGGGCATCGAATCTTGAGTACCTTGATATTGATCAATGTTCTAGTTTATCTGCTGTTCATGAATCAATTGGAACTCGTACAAAGCTTAGATTCTTGAGTTGTAGAGACTGCACAAGTCTTGTGAGTATACCCTCTAAGGTTTACACCATCGAATCTCTTAAAACTCTTGATTGTCGTGGCTGCTTAATACTTAGAGAATTTCCCCGGGGATGGTTTTTTTATTTTTCTGTGTTCTTTCCAGCTTTGATTCTTCTAGATTTAGGCTTTTGCAATCTAAGTGAAGTACCTGAGGGTATTGGAGAGTTGAAGTGTTTAGAAAGACTAAATCTAGAGGGAAACAACTTTGTTTCATTACCTTCTACTATCGCGGGGCTTGAAAGGCTAGCATATTTAAACTTGGCGCATTGCCATGAGCTTCAATTTTTACTGGGGCTTCCAGTTCCGTGGGGAAGTGATTCATCAGTGGGAAGCTATTTTAAAACGGAATCCGGATCTCGTGATCATAGGTCTGGATTATATATTTTTGATTGCCCCAAGCTGGATGTCGATGAGTGGTTGTTTAACTCTGCAATTGAGTGGCTTCGATGTCTAATTAAGGTGCGTATTGTAAGGAACTAAATGAACCAATTCAACCCAAAATCTTAAGGTGTTGAATGAAGACTCTTTTAATGGTTTATATTATTCTCTGACAGTATCTTTCTTTAGCTCTAATATTCCTACGTGGTTTTTTTTTTGGTACAAGGAACCCCGACACTTCCGGTGTGGCTTTGACATTGTTATTCCTTGGGATTGGAAAATTATTGATTCTTCCTCAAATCAAATTCTTCCTGAGTGGTTCGGACATCAATTTAATGAGGCTTCAGTAAAAAGGATAGAAGATTTTGATGTGAATGACAACTGGAATGGTTTTGCCTTTTGTGTAGCATTTGAGGTAAACAATCATAACGCGATCGCTGGTTCACCAGATTCTTCCTCCTTGTCACGACCACATCATTTTTATCTTTCTTTTGAAAGTGAATTCACGGAAGAATGCTTCGATATGCCACTCAGTTTGGAATTGAACAAGATTGATGGCTCAAAATATCTTTGGATAATCTATATCTCTCGAGAGCATTGCCATTTTGTAAAAACAGGAGCGCGTATCACATTTAAAGCCCGCCCAGGTCTGATGATGAAACAATGGGGATTACGCATGGTAGTCACGAAATATTTGTTTGAACAAGAACTCCATTTTGTCATTAATAATGTAGAAGAAAGCAGCTTGTGCCCTGAAATCCAGCTTCCCTACAATTGGTTGGTTACTGAGGAAGAGGAAGTCGAGAATCATGTAGCAAAGGAGAAAGAAAATAAATTTTCTAATCTGGGCCTTTAGAAATGCCGACCAGCGAAAGAACACAATATTTTCCCCGAGGCATGAGGTAATTATCTTTCTCAAACATTAACACATTATTAATTAATAATTAATTACCATGATTAATTAATAAAATTAAAAATATATCAATACTTTTTTTTTTTTTTTTGGTAATCTGTAAGGCTAGAGACAGTCCCACAGAAACTAAATTAAATTAACTTTGCGAAAAGAACAAACATGAAAAAAGTCTGCTAGATACAATAACCAAATACCAGGGGGAGGAGAATGGAAAACACATAGATTATTTTCCATTGGATGATCCAGTGGGAGTTTAGATAACCAATCTGCGCAACCATTGCTTTCTCTGTAGGTACGAGTAAGATGAACCTCCCAATCTTTCGCTAACCATGCTCGAATGCGAGTCACTAATCGCGGCTCTCGAGCTGCTCCTCCATCTTTGGTGAGCAAAGTGATAACAGATTTTGAATCACTTTCTAAAATAATATTCATCCAACCTCCTTCCCAAGCCAGTTGTAAACCTTTAAGAACGCCCCAAAGTTCAGCTGTAAATGCTGAACATTGACCAATATGGTATGCAAATCCATGGAGCCAATTATCTGATGCATCCCTAAGCACTCCACCACAAGCAGCTCCACTATATGGTCTCCTAGATGCCCCATCTGTGTTGATTTTTATCCAACCCACGTATGGAGGATTCCAACCAACCGAAATGAATGTAAGAGCCCTTGTAGTCTTGTAGCCTTGTTTCATTTTCCAGCAATCAAAGAATTCTCAAACCTTAAGCTTAATTGTTTGGGCTTTGTAGGCATGCTCATCTGTCTCATTACCGTGAACAATTGAATTTCTCCAAGTCCAAGCCATCCACACCGCCACTGCAAAAATTAAGGCCCATAGAGCATTGAATCTCGCATAGGATTCTTTTTTCAAATTTTCCAGCAACCATCTATCAAGATCATGGTTAAAAAATTCAGGAATCAGATCTGAGTTCACCAGATCCAACCATACCTTCTTCATGTTGCTGCAATCTCTAACCATGTGAAGGATAGTTTCATCTTCCACATTGCATAAAGGGCACGTAGCAGGGGCTAACCTTAAATTCGCTAACTAGCTTCTAGTTGGTAAACGATGATGGGCCACTTTCCAAAGAAACAAACTAATCCGATTAGGTCCTTTAATATTCCAAATGTGATGCCAAATCTCTCGTTCCTCCAAGATGATCTCATCATGTTCCCTTAGAGAAAAATATATTTGTTTGACTGTGCTCCCATTTGATCCCCCAAGGTTCCAACAGATTTTATCTATCCCATTAGATGCATGAGGAGGAAGAAAACTTCTAATAACCTGAATAACCTCCTCTGATAGGAATTGTTGCATGACATCCGTATTCCACTCTCCATTTAGACTCACATAATCCATAACATTTTTATGGTTTCTGTCTGTGGGATAGGAGTTATAGCTTTGCTGGCCAGATTTTGATCATGCTCTAACCACTTGTCTTCCCAAAATTTAACAGAAGAACCATCCCCAACATCCCAAATTAATCTGGGTTTGAGTTTGTGCCAAACATCACACATAGCCTTCCAAAGTCTTGAGCAACCACGTTTCGACATAAACTCCTCCTGACCATTAATAAGACTGCTGTATTTTGTTTGTAGAACCTTAACCCAAAGATCATCTGGCCTATTTAAAAAGGACCAAATCAGCTTTCCCATGAATGTTTCATTCATTTTTGATAACTTCCTCAGGCCCAACCCTCCAACACTCTTTTGTCTAGTAACTTTATCCCAGGCAATGAGATGCAACTTTCTTTTTCCCTCTAAATCTCTCCAAATGAATCCTCTTTGAAGCTGCTCTAACTCTTCACAAACAGATTTTGGGATCATAGTACTCTGCATATGAAAGAAAGGCATCGTAGATAAAACTGACTGAGATAAAATTACTCTACCCACTTGAGAAAGGGATTGCCTATGCCATGCAGACAACCTTTCTTTAACTTTATCAATAATTCCAGAGAATAGATTCTTTGTCACACGACCTTGTTGAATCATCGCCCCAAGATATCTCCCCACATTTGTTACTCACTTAAAACCACTAATATCAATGATTTTGTTAGCTATGTTATTCGGAGTATTCTTCGAAAAGAACACAGTGGTTTTTTGCTCACTCACCTTTTCACCAGAAATTTCCCCTAACAGACCAAGACATTGGAGAAGAACTTGAATCTGATCCTCATTTGCTTCTAAGAAAAGCATCAGGTCATCCGCAAAGAGTAAATGTGAGATTGAGGGCCCATTTTTTGCTGCCCAGATAGGCTTCCACTAACCTCCGCTTACAGCAATGCGAATATATGAGAGAGCTTTTCCATGGCTAGAACAAAAAGATAAGGTGACAAGGGATGACCTTGCCTAACACCCCTACTCGGTTGGAATTCCTCAGTTACTTTCCCATTCCAAATCACTGTAGTCTTGGATGATGTTACTGCTGCCATTGCTAGTTCAAGAATTGTATTCGGAATCTGGATTTCTTCCATAACATTACGAATGAAATTCCAATTTAACCGGTAGTATGCTTTTTCTAGATCCACTTTGATAGCCATGAAACACTTTCTACCCCGCATTTTTCTCATTGAGTGAACTAATTCTTGAATCACAATTATATTATCTTGAATATGACGATTGGGAACAAAGCTTGTTTGAGCAGGAGAGACCACTTTTTCCATGATAGGCTTCAGACGATTCACTATGAGCTTACTAATAATTTTATAAATAACCGGGCAGAGTGAGATAGGGCGAAACTGGCTGATATGCACAGGAGATTGAACTTTCGGGATCAGCACTAGAAGAGTGGAGTTCACATATGCCAATAATTCAGGATATCTCCAAACCTGATTCACCAATGTACAAACCTTAGACTTGATCAGCTGCCAATTTTTTTGGTAAAAGATAGTTGGAAAACCATCAGATCCAGGAGCTTTGAGTGCACCCATCTTAAAAATGGTTTGTTTAATTTCTAGCTCGCTGGGGGATCTTCGAAGGCCCTCATGATCTTCACAGGAAAGAACTGGCCATAAATTACCAGACGTAATCCACCTTTTTTTTTCGATATCATCTGTGAAAAGATTCTTAAAAAAATTACAAGCTAAAAATTGGAGATCATTAGGATTTGACACCTAAACATTAGCATCATTTTTAAGTTTGGAGATTTTATTCACATTTCTTCTCAACACTGTGCTCAGATGATAAAAATTAGTATTTCTATTCCCATCATTCACCCACTTTTGTCTTGATTTTTGATGCCAGAACAACTCTTATTCTCTTAGTACATTAGTCAGCATTTTTTGGAATTTCTCCTCCTCATATTTCAGATGATCTGTGTCAAATTGTTCACGTCTTTTTTGTATGCTAGCAATTTTCCTAATAATGCTGTTCTTCCTAGTTTTAATAATACCAAAGACCCTTCTATTCCAAATTCTGATTTCGGATACCAGCCTTTGAAGCATATAAGGAGGATCAAAATCCTGCTCCCACTTTGATTTAAGAAAGTCACTGAAATTGTGATGTTCTTGCCAAGCAGCGAAAAAACGAAACGGTCTCTTGCCTTTATCATTAACTTCCATAAATAATTTGATCAGTAAAGGGTTGTGATCTGATAGTAGACGAGGAAGAGAAACTACTCTAGCTTCATCAAACTTCGTTCTCCAGGACATATTAGCCACCACTCTGTCCAGCCGCTTGAAAATTCTTCCCATGCTTCCCCATTTTGGACCTTGCCATGTATAGAAAGATCCATCACAACCTAAATCTGCCACTTGACAATCATTGAGAATAGAAGCAAATTTTGCACATTTATTAGGGTCAGGTGCAACACCTCCTTTTTTCTCATGAATAAATGCTATCTCATTGAAGTCACCCCCAAGGATCCAAGGATCAGAGATAGATTCACTAATACTCTTGAGATCATTCCATAGCAGTTCGTGGGTACTTTGAAGGGGATTAGCATAAATCGCAGTAAAAATAAAGGAGTGTACATTTGGAAAACTGACCTTACAATGAATGAACGGAAAAGCTTGGGCAAGAAGCACTACATCTACCTTCCTTCTATTCCATAAGATCCAGATACCTCCCGAGAACCCGACGGCTTCCTCCATAAGATAACTGTCAAAACCAAGCTTCCGCTCCAGTTTTTTACACACCCCACTATGCGTACGAGGTTCAAGGAGGATTAAAATCTCCACATGATTCTTACTAACCATAGATTTTAAAGCACCACCTAATTCTCTTTTAGCAGCACCTCTTACATTCCAAACAAGAATATTCATTAATAACTAATGGACTTTGTTACAAGTTTAAAGGGAACCTGCTTCTTTTTCACAGCTACAGGGCTGTCTTTAATCTCTACCATATTGCAATCCATTTCCTGCCTAACACTATGCTTCTGTCCTCGCCTATATTGATCTGGTAGTTTACGACTAGGAGGAATCTCCACATCATTCACAAGTTGGTCATTCGGCTGACTTATCTCTTCCATTCCCTTTGAGACAATATTTTGGTTTGAAGGCAGCTCTATTAATTTATTAACCTCAGTTCCAAGAGAAGGTTGCTCGTCTACAGCCATTCCCTCCTTTGATTCCCACGATTCAGGACATAAAGCAGTAGGTTTTGACTTAGATTTGTCAGAAAGAGTTGCCACATTATCTACCTTCCCTTCCTTATTGTAGACATATGTATCCTTGATAGTGTCTCAAACCAACTGATACGCTGTGGCAGTTTCAATTAGTTTAGCTTTGTCTTTCTGGCCCCTTTTTTCTTTCTCATGCGACTTTATATTGAGCTCTATAGTCTGATCTAGAGGAGTCTCCCTCACAATCTCAACATTCTCCAAATTAATATTCCGTGGATCCATCATCTTCAACGCATCAAATTTATATACATTTGTCCCTAATCCTTTTTGATTCGGAGTAACTTTGTCTCTACTATTCTCCAATTTATGAACCTGCAGTCTCCTTGGACCTCTCTGCTTGGTAACAAGCATCCAAGGGCCATAATTGCCCTCTACATCCTGTGAATGACCAGTTTCACTCCCTTCTTCATGACCCAAACCAACTGGAGGAGCATTTTCCTTATTCTCTGATTCCTTTAAACTCATGCTTTTGGGATAGTTTTCAGCTTTATGTCCATATTGGCCACATGAAAAACACACAATATGTAGCCCTTCATACTATATCTTTTTCAGTCTTCCTTCAACTTTGTATTCCGATTGGAGAGGCTTACCCAAGTCTAACTCCACACAAATCCTAGCAAAACGGCCCCTTGCTAAGGATGTAGTAGCAACATCTAACTTGATGAATTTACCAATCCAATTCCCTATGCTCTTCAATAGACCTGTATTAACATATTCGATTGGGAACTGAGGAAGTCTAACCCATGCTATAACCCTATTAATTGCAGCTTGGAATGGCTGAAAGTCAGGCTCCCAAGATCGAATAACCAGATAATGGTCCATAATCACCCATGGTCCTGCTGTCAAGGCGTACTCCATATCTTTTTTCTCTGAAAATCTTACTAGGAAAAACCCATTATCTACATCAGTAATCAACAAACGCCCCTCCCTTGCCCACATGTTTTCCAATCGTTTCTTCATGAATGAGAGCGAAAGCTTTTTACCTAGCAATTTCACATACAATGCCTGATGCCAAGGACGCCACGCTTTTCGTTTGAACTCGTCAGATAGCAGGAAATTGGTCCTTCCATCTCCATCAACTACACATGTAACCTCTGGTTTCTCAATAGGATTTTCATTCACCAAATCTTCATGCGTGTCTTCATCCTCCGCCTGACATTGATCCTCCATGGGATTCCACTCCCCATTATGTCTCAAGACCATCTCCTTGTAAGACATCCTCTCATGCATCCACTCCTCATCTCTAGACTTCAGAGTTTGATCATAGCTGAACTCACCTTCCTCCCTCTTCTTCTTTCTAGTAGACCGTTGAAGGATGTCAGCTTCCTCCTTTGATGGCGCAAATTGTTCGGATTGATCGGACACTTCCATGGCGGCACAAACCCTAGCACCTACAGATTGTATTTTTATTGTAGAGAAATACTACAAAATATAAAGAATTTTCTTTTAGTTTGTTTCTTTAAAAAAAATAAAAAATAAAAAATATCAATACTTTATTATTATCAAAGTGCATCCAACTATGTTAAACCAAGTTTATCCAAGAATTTTCTTATTAATATGGGTTTAGGGTTTAGTTCAGTTCTGGGCAAAAAAATTAAATTTTTTTATTTTAATAAAAAATTACAAAAAATATAGCTGTTTTGAATCAATTTACGAATCTATTATACTTAGTCACCCCCAAAATTGGCATGACCATTCACGCCTCATTTAGGCGTGACCAACAACAGGAACACGCCTAGAAAATGTGTGACCAAGGTAGTTAAAATCGAGATTTTACGTAAAATCAGAAAGGGGATAATAAAAATCGTAAAACATAAAATCATAATGTAAAAAAATCGTAAAAATGTAAAAGCTTTAGGAATATTGGTAAAATCATTTTGATAAAAAAATCATAAAAGCATAAAATCGTAGTGATAAATCGAGATTTTAACAACCATGAGTGTGACTCATCTGGTGTTGACACGTGGTGCAAAAAAGTCAACAGGTTGACTATTAAACTTTGGAAGGCTATGACTTTTGACTCGGGTGTCCGAATCAGGTAAAAAAAATTTGTTCTACATAACTTTACGAGATCTACGCAATGACATCTCATTGAAGGGGATTTGGTTAAAAAAATTTCCAAATTTTTTTTGAATTTGCAATAATGGTGCCACCACAAGAGTATTTTATCTCCCAAAATTTTCCAAAAAAGGACAACATACGTTTATTTGACTTTTGACCCATTTGCCCCTTTTTAAAACAAAAATTAACATGTCTGTGTTTGATCGTTGACTGAATGATGTAATCGATTACATGAGCTCAAGTTTAACATAAAACTTCAGAAGGCCATAAATTTTGGCCTAGGAGTCCGAATCAAGTGATTTTTTAAGAGTAAATACCATTTTGGGTCCCTAACAAATTTCACAATGCCCTCTTTGGACCCTTGCAATAAAAAAGGCCACTCGTGGTCCCTGTAGTTTGAAAAAAGAAGCCATGTTAGTCCTTCTGTTAGTGGAGCTCAAATGGCGTCATTAACGTTGCTTACGTGTAACGTTAAGTGGCTGACTCATATTACACATAGGATAGAAAACGACGTCGTGCACCCTTCTGACTTTTTCTTCTTCTTCTTCTTCTCTGCAATACGAGTCCCTCCACAGTTGGTTGGTACACTAACAGAACACGCTAATCCCAGAAAGCTCAAAACTTAAACCCAACAACCTGTATAAATCGTCTCACAACATCAGTTGTCCCTTGGAACCATTTCTTCCCTGCCTCTCCAGGAGTTTGAGTAGCAGCCAAGACCTGTTTTAATGTAAATTGTGCACCTTAGATCAATAACATAGCTTCATTGATAAATTTCTTCAAACTGGTTTATAAACACCATTTCCTAGAAGGTAGTAAAACTCACTTCTACGAAATATTACCAATAACTTACCTCCACAAAACCATCTCCAAAGCTCACACCATTTCCAAAATTATGTGCGAGACAAGTGGCCATTGAGGGAGAGTGTTACACCATCTCCACAAAACCATCGCCAAAGTTCACGCCATTTCCACAAAGCCATCTCCAAAGTTCACGCCATTTCCAAATTATATCTCCAAAGTTCACTCTCATCTTTCTCGTCTAACTTATCATCATTCCATTTTCATTAAATGTTCGCTATACTGAGAGAATTTCTTTTCGGGTCTTTTAGTCTGTGTAGAAAATGCCACTTGAGCCATTTCATATTATACATGTGGCAATCTATTTCCAACTTACCCAATGCATGTCGTGCACATGTTAAACAAATTCCTTCTCACATTCACTGCATGGACGCCACCTACACCCTCATGATGACACCTTGCATCCCTTAGTTGATTTTCGGCCTGCACCTTGACCACACTTACCCATTTTCAAACACAATACTCTTCTCTCATTCCTCTACATGCTCTCAACCGAAGCTCACTATCCTATTTTCACATTATGAAATTTTCTTTCTCATTAGCCGAGACATATACCCTATCACCACCTCCATCAATTTTAAGATTTATTTTGTACACACAAGACTTCCCAATAATCTAATCCTGCAATGCTCTAGGATAGTCTTCCCTCCTCATGGCCAAAGCAAGCTAACTTCTTAGGTTATTTACAACCACCTCTTAACAACCTCACATGCAAGGTTGTCCCTCTTCTCTACTCCTAGTCGCTGGTCTTCAAAAGAAATAAGGAGATACGTAACTCTTGTTAGAAGTGTCTAGAAGGAAAAGCAAATATCATTACCAGGAAGCCATTTGGTTAACCATAAATTGAAAGGTAAGCCACATTTTATGAATATCCTTTCCATCTTCGAGTATGGCTGTTATGGGGGAGAGATTGTTGTGAAAAATCAAATTAATTCACATAACCTGTTGATATAAGTGAAACCTAGGAAGTAAACTTGATGAATTTGAGTTACTTATAGACTTTAATTCTGTTTTGGACTGATGTATTCAGGTTTTAAGTTGAACAATTTGATGATGATTATTACTAAAAATCAGAAAATAATTTTTCACAGTACCTGTGTACGGGTAATCATGAAAGTATGAGCAAAATCGCAATGCCTCTAACTAATAAATTAAAAACCTTCCTATTAGATGTTAAATAGGATGAGAGAAAAAACATTACTGCCAGAGGCCAACTTCAACCTTTTAAATGATATTCAGTGATTTTCTTTTGGTCTCTCACTCTTTTAAATTTTAGATTATTTATTATTATGACAGATCGTCATGCTTATGATCGTATGCAATTTTAATATTGGGAAACTTATTAGTTACATTGTCCACTTTTGTCTTCAACGGTCTGTAGAACGTGTCCGAATTGCATATGGGAAGAAATGTAAGCAACTCAGGAACCAGGATTTTCAAGGAGATGACTCCTCTTATGCAGATAAAACAAGAACTAGCTAGGCCTTAGAGATCATACATTGTAAATTATCTTTAAATTGTAAGATCCTACGACGGTTTCCAAGGAGCCATTGAAATTTTTGCAGGCGGTGTAAACCGACTCCATGATGAAAACAAACCGCCTTTAAGATTCATTTTTGTTGTAGTGCATGTATTGCAGAGAAGAAGAAGAAGAAGAAAAAAAGTCATAGGGTTACACGACGTTGTTTTTGATCCTATGTGGAATATGAGTCAGCCACTTAACGTTACACGTAAGCAACGTTAATGACGCCGTTTGAGCTCCACTAATAGAAGGACTAACGTTGCTTCTTTTTTAAAACTAAAGAGACCATGAGTGGCCTTTTTTATTGCAAGGGACCAAAGAGGGCACCGTAAAATTTGTTAGGGACCCAAAAGGGTATTTATTCTTTTTTTAATTCCACGTAAAATTTTGAGATCTACGCACTGGCAAATTCTCAGAGGATTATTTGTTAGTGTTGGAAAGTAAAAATTTAAATAACATCATTCACAAAGATAAAAATTACCAAATGGAGCACAAAAAAGCATTTTTTGGGAAAAAATTTTAGAAATAAAAAAATGCAACTGATTCAAACACCTAATTTAAAAGTTATAGCCTTCCGAAGTTTTTATGGTAAAATATCCCATATTTTGGAAGAAAAATTGACCAAATCCTCCTCAATGAGATGTTTTTGTGTAGATCTAGAAAAGTTATATGGAATAAAATTTTTTTATCTAATTCAGACACCCGAGTTAAAAATTATGGACTATCGAAGATTTATGGTCAAACTGTTGACCTTTTTGTGGCATGTGTCAAAACCAGATGAGTCACGTCTTTTCTACGCGTGTTCCAACTGTTGGTTCAGCCTAAATGAGACGTGAATGGTCACGCCTATTTTGGGTGTGATGGAGTGCAATAGATCCATAAATTGGATCAAAATAACTATATTTTTGTAATTTTTATTAAAATAATAATATTTTAATTCTTTTGCCTTCAGTTTTGCCAATAAAGAAATGAAATAGGGAATTACATTGCAGATTGAGTTTGTTTGTCTAAATACTCTGGAATGACTAAGAAGACATATCAGAGTTGACCACAGTGAAGCTTAATTGTACAATAATATGATTTTACTATAACTTCTATATTCTAATTATCTGGAAAGACAAAGGAGGTATAACAAAGTTTGATTGCAAAGTATCCTTCTGTGAGAACAAAGTAAACAAACATGCTTGTGGATGCATAAGCTCAAGCTGGAATATGCTTTGGCTAGTAGCCTATAACGTAAGTGATGCTTTTCTTTGTTTATGTTAGTGTGTGTTGTTTTCAAAACATTACTTTTTACATGTATATTGATGGGACGAAAGTCCATTCTCATCTAAGCTTATTTTAGTGATAAAAACTCATTAGTTCCATTATCTAACATCCAATTTTGCTGTTAAAATATGTTCCCAGCTCATGAGAACGAAAACATCAGAGAGGGAACATATGTTGATATAACCACTAATAAAGGAAGGAAAAAGGGGGAACAGATTGACTTATTTCTAAACCTGCTCCACTAACTCCTCCTCTGACCCTTTTGCTGGAAAAGTCTGAAAATAAGCTTCTAAGCAGAGAGAGTACAATAATCAAGCAGCAAGAAGCGTGTACAACAGAGAAGGAAGAATGCTCATTGGTATAAAGAAAGGAAAATCATGTGGGATTCAGAATAAAAAGGCAAAATTCAACCCTAAGCTCTCTATTCAAGCAACTTGCTTCCTCTGTCAGAGCAACAGTTCACCGCCTCTCCACACAATCACGGAACAGCTGAGGAAAAATCATAAGGCTGCCATAATCTCCCTCAGCATATAAATATGAAGGCCCAAGACGAAGAAAATGATCGAATTCCTGAAGAAGAGATAATATAATTCATAGTTTAAGTTTCTGTCTTATAACTTGTATAGTTTTAAGAATATCTAAGTGACAACAACCTTTTCGCCATTCTTCACCACCATTTAAGACTCCTCACGAGCAGATTTTCATATTTCTCCATTTTTTATTTTTTATTTATTGTAAGAACTGGTGTTTATTAATACATGTTTGTTATTTCTTTTCTCTTCTATTCGATATCTTCAACCTGAATCTCGAGTCTATGGGATTTCAGATTGAAATAACCATGTTTATGTTTTCAGCAATGGGCTAAGTTATTTTGGAATGAAAAAACTGTGAAGTTCTTAAAGAACTATGTTCAAAACTCTTGCACGGAACCTTTTGTATTTCTATGATTTAAGTAACTTTAATTCTTTGGGTATAAATAGAAATTGAACATAAACTGAGAAAGGAACTCCCTTAAGGGAGGGATTTCAGACAACTTAATCATAAGAGGAAGGTAATGTTAGTACATAGGTGTCTTAGAGACAATCTGAGAGTCAGATGAACCCATGTACTTCTTTATTGTTATGAATAAAAGCATTCTTTATCTTGTTTCATATTGCATATTTCAAATATTGAATATGAGTAACTGGATAAAGCTCTTGGAATGGAACGAGTGTCACATTGAGGATCTGTGATAGGGATCATGATCATGAGGGCTCAATGACACCACACGTCGATTGCCAGAAATATGTTCCTAATCTAGAGATACAGATAATGGGCATTGATGATCTCGAGTAAGACTAGCACGACTCAGCTACTTGTATGGAGATGCAGGGTAAAGTCCTCGTGAGCTACTGACATGGAGATATCTTAGCTGACTCGTGGGTGGACCTATTGGAGAATAGCTCGCACTGAATTGACCTACAAAGAGGCACTACAAGGAAATCTCACAGATAATATCAATAGGTAATGTCTCTTATTATTTGAGTGTGTCTTTCCTTAGACTTGACGCTGTCATATCGACCTGTGCTCTTGAAGGCTTGCTTTGATTGTATACCATGTCTGCCTGAAACATGGAGACTCGTAGGTATACTCTTAGGCATGCCCTAAGGACTCAGGGCTAGTGTGACAAGCTAAAGGAATTCGTCAATCTCTGTGAGAGATTAGGTTATCCGTAGACCGATGAAACGGGGATGACATTTAGGGGACTTGAAAATCTATGCATAGTAAATGTGTCATGAAATGACCCGCTCTTTAGAGTATGTAAATGAAGATTCCCTGTTTCGGCTGAAGCTAACCCTAGACCGCAGGGGTTGATACATTTTCCTTGACCTAGGTTAATGGGACGGATAACCGAGACGAAAGGACAATTCACACGGTAACCAAATACGTATAACAGGTTGATCATTCGATGAACTCAACTAGCTCTGGGACAACAAAGCATTGCTAGTGCTTTGTGTTGTCATTAGATGGATTGGGCCTCATGGGCCTAAGCCCATTTGTGTCAGTGGCTATGTTGGGCCTGATGGGTCTCACACAAACACCTTAAGTTGTCTTGAATTCTAGCATATGTGGTTTGGGCCCTATAAGGGATAATGGGCCTAAGTTGGTAAAGTCCACATATTGGGCCAAGAGAGGGTAGTTGGCATCATGGGCCAAGTTGGATTTGATCCATAATATAACCTAATTAATTTAAATGTTAAATTAATAAAATTAAGGGAAAAAAGTATATAATGTTACTTTAGACAACATTGTCTAATGTTCAACGAAAAAACGTCGTTTTGGGGTTGAAAAATTAAAAAATTAGAATGATAAAGACTATTACAACCCTGAAATAAATTAAAATTACAAAAACACCATGATTTCTGCCCAAAACAACGTCGTTTCGATGAACATTAGATAAAGTTATCTAAAGTAACTTTAGAAAAAACAAACCCTAAAATTAATTTGAATTCTAATTTTGAATTTTGAATTTGAAAATGAATTTAAATAAAATTAATTTAAATTCTAATTTCGAATTTTTTATTTAAAATTTGAATTTAAATATAGTCATTAAATTAGATTTACTGAAGATGAAAAAAATAAAGGAAACCAATCAATTAGATTGATTGACCAAAATTAAGGAAATTAATTAATTAGATTAATTGGCTGAAATTGGAGAAATCAATTAGTTGGATTAATTAGATAAAATTAAGGAAATTACCCAATACTATTGGGATTTGATAAGGGCGCTGATTTGACCTAGTCTTAGGTTAATGAGCCGCCACATATATAGCCCATTTTCTTCTTTAGTTTCGTAACTCTTCTCCTTTAATTTTCTCCACTGAAACTCTAGCCAACACACACATTAGTGTGACGACTATCTCCCCTCTCTTGGAATAACCAAAGGCACCATCCACTCTCTGTTCTTTTCTTGAGTCTAGCAACCTCCATTGAAGGAGATTGGACATTCGAAGAAGCGTTCTTCTCTTACAAGACAACAAGGTGGTATGGATTTCCATCGGAGGACTTGTGTTCTTCAAGTCTGAAGTATTGATCAAGAACACATCTGATCAGGAATAGATATCCGAATAAAGGTATCAACTTTAAATCCCTACCATGTCTATTGCATGATTCATGGGTTGAACATGCTTGAGGGTGGACAAAGGTTGCTTATTCCGCAAATTTTTTTAATTTTTCCCTCCTTTATGTTCATGCCCTACAAAAGGCTATTTTCAGGTAAGACTGTGGAAACATTCTTACTGGTTGCCTTAGGAATAAAGAACTACTCCATTCCCTGAAGGTTCTGTACTTAGTAACTATTGGAGTCAAGGGAGCCATAAGAATATAGAAACTTGTGAGCTATTTAGTCCATGAGCTGAGAAATCAGAGTTGGCAATGAAAAGACTTGAACAAATTCAGAAGGGTTAAGTCTTGTATTGAGAACATAGTTATTTAAGAATGGAACAGTGAATCCGTTCCTAGTGTTAAAAATTGTTTTCTGTTGATCATTTCACCTTGTTGTCTCTTAATTATTGCTAACTTTAAATTCTGCATTTAATATTCTGTAGTCATAACACCAAACGTCTCATGATTTTGTCCTTCCTCCTGTAATCAGGAAAGATTTAATATATAACGACGCGGGGAGTTGTTTAGAGTCAATCTGAACCTACTATCTTAAGGGAACATCCTTAAGGTACTAGGGAATGAAAGTCCAAACAGTTCTTTTATTCATTTCAAATTTTTTTAGATTAGTTTAAAATATTATTTAGAGTCATTATCCTCGTGAGAACGATAAATTGGGCACTAATAACCCCTCTTATTACTTGATGCGTGCACTTGCACAACTGGGTCAATATCTTGAGAACAAATGCATTTTCTCTTGATAGACAAAATAATGAAACGTCCTTCGTAGCAACAGCACCCAACATTTTATTTGTCCTTTTGTGTGCTTTATAACAACTATTTTATTATTTATTTTTAATAATTATCGAAAATATCCTCTATTATAGGATGGATTCGCATCCGGCCCAAATCCGATTCCTTGAAAGGCCTAAGCCCAAAGAGTAAAACTTTCACTTCAAATCAAAAACTGAGGAAATCTATAAACTCTAACTCTTCATATACGGCTTTTTGACTATTGTAGTCCTTATTTAATAATTAATTACCAAGTTGACCTTGATTATAAACTATTCACAAATTTAACCTCTCCAGAAAACATAACACCAGTCTGCCTCTATTTGACCGTTGACCATGAAGCCTTCCCGGATAGCCCCCTCCCTACCCGGGTATTTTTTGAAATTTTTTTCCTACCCGGATAGTCAAGGGGATACCCTAGTATATTTCAAAATTCTGGAAAAATGTTTGAATTATTTACTCGGGTAGGGAAGGGGCTACGTGGATAAATAATCATAGTTTTTCCTTCTTTATCAATGCTTTGGATTTTCCTTCTCCATCAATGCAGATTTTGAACAAGCGCGAGTTCCACAACGAACTCTTCTTCGCCTCCAGGCTCCGCTCCGACCTAGTCGTCCCCGCCATAGGTTTCTCTTCTGACCCCGAACGCCATCTATTCTTGCTCGTCTACGATCTCAAACCGAGTAACATTCTTCTGGACCGTTGTTTTTCGGCGAAAATCGACGATTTTGGACTTGCCCGTTTGAAAACCGAATCGTAGTTTGAAGTGAAAAGTGAGAACAAGAGAAAGGAGGAGTTGGAGAGTGATGGTACTGATAGTGTGAATACTGGATTCGAGGAGCAATCATTTGATGATGTTGGTGAGATAGACATTGGTATGAAAAGGAATGAGGTTGCAGCCTCAGGATCAGGTCTTGTGAATAATGGCAGAGTGAAGGATTATGTGATGGATTGGATTGGGAAGGAGGTGAGCAAGGAAACACCAAAGGGGGAATAGGTGAATCTGCATCTAGCATTGGAACTGTGGAGAAAAAGAAGAGCAGGAGGAAATTGGAATGGTTGGAATCAATGGATGAGGAAAAGGATGGTAGTGGAGTTTTGAAGATGGAAAACAGTGATGACAATGGCGATGATTGGTGGGAGAGGGATGATAGTAATAAAAACCGTAATAGGAGTGGTTCAGTGGGGAGCTAAGGAGAGCTCAATGGAATAGCTATGATTTTGGTAGTAGTGAAATACACAAGAGTGGTGGTATAAGCAGTACTTCAAGCTATGATTATTTACCTGGTAGCCTCCTCTCTACCCGGGTAAATAATTCAAATATTTTTTCAGAATTTTGAATTATATCAGGGTATTCCCCTTGACTACTTGGATAGGGAAAAAATTTAAAAAAATACCCGGGTAGGGAGGGGGCTACCCGGGTAGGCTTGATGGTCAACGGTCAAACATGAGCAGATTGGTGTTATGTTTTCTGGAGAGGTTAAATTTTTGAAATAGTTTATAATCAAGATCAATTTAATAATTAATTATTAAATAAGGGGTACAGTGGTCAAAATGACCTTCATATACACGTACACACATCATCACTCTACATCATTGCATTTATTGCATAAAAAATTGGCCACCTATATCATCTTCTTAGTAATTGATCACATCCCTGCAATTTCAATATGAATCATCTGCATCGAACATCCTTAATAAAATAGTCTTGTTATAAACTTTCATTCTATTTATTGTTCACACGTGTCCATTAAATTAAGGCATTTCCAATCCATATTCACACGTTTCAAAATAAAATCCCGTGAGA